GCCACACATTCCCGCCTCTCCTCTAGCGAGCCCGTGGAAGGCCACACATTCTCTCCTCTCCTCTAGGGAGCCCGTGGACGGCCACACATTCTCGCCTCTCCTCTAGGGAGCCCATGGACGGCCACACATTCTCGCCTCTCCTCTAGCGAGCCCGTGGAAGGCCACACATTCTCGCCTCTCCTCTAGGGAGCCCATGGACGGCCACACATTCTCGCCTCTCCTCTAGCGAGCCCGTGGAAGGCCACACATTCTCGCCTCTCCTCTAGGGAGCCCATGGACGGCCACACATTCTTGCCTCTCCTCTAGGGAGCCCGTGGACGGCCACACATTCTCTCCTCTCCTCTAGGGAGCCCATGGACGGCCACACATTCTTGCCTCTCCTCTAGCGAGCCCGTGGAAGGCCACACATTTCCTTTCCTTGGTGTACATTGTTCACTGAATCTCAAACATTTAACTAGAATTTTTTTCTTTTAAAAAATTGTATCACATTTATTCATATGTGTTTTTGTGTGTGCATGTGTATGTGTGTTGGTATGTGGGTGCCACAGCCCATATGTGGAAGTCAGAGGACAACTTTCAGGAGTTGGTTCTCTCGTTCCATCGTGCGGGACCCTGGGATTGAACTCCGTTAGGCTTGGCGGCAAGCACCTTTATCTACTGAGCCATCTTGCCTGCCCTAAGACATGATCTTGTTAAATAGCCCAGGTTGGCCTCAAACTTATCTTCAAGCCTCAGCCTTCTAAGATTACAGACGTGCACCCCTACACCTAATTTAGCTGTACGTTTTAATGTATTTTTATTTTTCTTTAATGAATACTACTTTCCAGTTCATACAAGAGTTTTTTCTTTGACCCTTTGGTTAATTGTTTAATCTCCAAAGTACTTAGGGAGTTTCCTAGTGCTGCTTTGGGTTTGTAGTTTAGTTTCACTATGGTTAGAGAGTATGCTAAACTTGGTTTAGTGTCTCCGAAATTTATTGAAACTTTCTTTTAAAGCCTTGAGTTTGGTATCTTGGTAAGTGCCTGTCTGTGCCAGTCCACCACAGGGGTTTTGTCCACATCAGTTAAGGCAGACCACCGCCTGGATTTCTCATACTTGTTTCTGCTGGTGCTCGGTGCCTTCCCGCCTCCCGATCCATTACCAAGGAGGTGTGTTCAAATCTCCCATCATGGCTGTGGACTGCCTTTTACTTTTTTCTACCAGTTTGCTTTATATGGTTTGTACGTTTGCTTTGGTCTCTTTTTTTTGAGACAAGGTCTCTCTGTAGCCCCAGCTGGCCTGAAACTCACTGTATAGATGGGGCTGGCCTCGACCTCACAGAGATCTGCCTGCCTCTGCCTCCAGAGTGCTGGGAATGAAGGTGTGCACCATGGTGCCTGGCCCTTTATCTGTTTTGCGTTTATATTTGTAGGTGCATGCAGATTTGTAATTGATCTCTTTGTACAGTTTTAGTGTATGGTGTGGGTATGTGTGTGCATGTGTGTACATGTATGTGAAGGTCAGAGGACAACCTTGGGTGCCATTCCTCGGGCGCCATCCACATTTTTCTTCTTTGAGACAGGGTCTCTCCCTGGTCTAGAGCTTGCTCAGCGGGCTAGGCAGGCCACCTGTGAACCCAGGGATCTGCTTGTCGTGGCTCTCCCAAGCTGGGACCGCAGGCATGTGCCGCCATGCCTGGCTCCTGTATGTAGATTCTAGGGAACAAACTCAGGTCCTTATAAGTATATTACCAACTGAGCCACCTCCCTCAGCCCACCACTGACACTTTTTAATTAAGGAATAGTCTCCATTTTCTCCAGTTATGCATAAAGTCTCCTCTGCCTGGGCTAGTTTGCCCATCTGAGTTCTCTTTGGCCATACCATCATATATGTTTTTCTATCCTTTTATTAGCAACCTGTATTTTCATACTTTAAAGTGGATTTGTAACATTGTTTTTAATCCTGGTAACCTTGATTTATTCACTGAAGCATCTGTTCACTTTCCTATTCGTCTTTCTGCCTGCCTCTGTCTCCCTTTAATTCAATTTTCCCCTCATGCTACAAGCTAGCTACTTTTTTCTCTGTCCCTGAATAAACTTTTCTACTTCATTGCATCTTATCAAATTGCCTATTACATTCTTAATTTCCACTGTTGCCCTTTTGACTCTAGAATTTCTTTTTTCTTGGGGGGGCAGGGAGATGCTGAGGGGGGAGCAGGAGTGAGGCTGAGACAGCATCTCATGTAGCCCAAGGTGACTTCAAGTTCACCACAATGCAGAGAATGACCTTGAACTCCTGGTCTCCCTGCCTCCGCCTCCCAAGTGCTGGGAATGTAGGCATGCACCACCATGCACTGGTATAGAATTTTATTTTCGGTATTTGGACATAGCTTTTATCTCTCTGATGAAATCTCTCATCTTTTCACCCATTTTCTTGAATATGTTTCTTACAGCTATCTTAAAGTTCCCATCTAAAAAGTCTGATGCAAACCATCATCATCTATCTGACAATAAATGTCAGACCCTTGGGCTGCTCAGCTGTGGGCACTCCTGGGGGCAGAACACTCACTGTTTAACATGCCTGGAGCTGTCAACTGTTGCCCCAACTCCTTAGCTCTCCTTCTTGTGGCTTTTGGGCAGGCTATCTTGGACTTGCCGGGAGGCAGTAGTTTTCTAAGGGGGTAAAAGTGAAACCCATAAGTCCTCTTGAGGCTGAATTTCAGAACAGATGGTCTGCTTCTACTGGGGTGGAAATATACTCAAATCTTCAATGGGAGGAATGACCAGGGATCTGAAACTGTCGTTAACCAGCCACCACTTTTCACATTCCTTTCCAATACAAAGTTCATTGTCCTCCAACACACCTAGAGGTCTCACCAGCTGTAGATGGCACCATACAGAGCTCCCACCTCCCCTGTCATCTGCCTCTCCTCTCTGCTCCTAAAATCAATGCCACATATTATACAAGTCTGATAACACAGTGTCTAATCCCTGAATCTTATTAAGAGCTGTACTTACTCTACAGCACTGGGAACAGAACCCAGAGCCCTGCACTAGACAAGCACTCTACCACTGACCTATGTCCCCAGCCCCTCTCAACACTATCTTGAAACAGGATCTCACTAAGTTGCTCAGACTGACCTTGAACTCACTCTGTAACCCAAGCAGGCCTTGAACTTGTGATCTTCCTGCCTCGGCCATCCAAATAGCTGTGATTACAGCCTGGGCCACGGGAAGTTCCTAGTTTCTTTATCAGCTATCTGCTACTGAACAGCAAACCATAGCCAAATGTGGTGGCTGAGCAGTTATTCTCTTTGCTCACAGCTCCGTGGGTCAGGAGTTTGGACTCAGCTGTGCTGGAAGGTATGTCTGTGGCTGAGCTTGGGGTGACTCAGGCAGCGGCAACTTGCTCAGGGCTGGGTGGTCCAGAGTGGCCTCAGTCACATGCCTACAGTCAGTGCTGACTGATGGTGAGGCACCTCAACTCTTCCCCCTGTGGCCTCTCCAGCCACACTCTAAGCACATGTGGTTTCTACACAGGGTGAGCTCCCCAGAACTCTCACAGTCACATTAAGTCACAAGGTCAGCTTAAATTCAAGTAGTAGGAAAACAGCCCTATGTTCTGAGGGAGACGGCCAGTGGTAAGATTGCAGCCTGCCTCACACCTGCAGATCTCTATCTAAGGTTTGTCCCTTCCCTTGTTTTTCAACCTTTTATATATGGAAAAAAAAAAACAAGCAGAGGCTTCAAGATCTCTTTCTACAGATAATAGGATTTTTTTCTTCTAGAATGCAAAAAGAATCTGGGCTAGTTGGGGCTCAAGACAATGTGAGGCTAAGGGAGTGGGTGGGACCTCAACCGGAGGCTTTGGAGGTATACCGAGGTCCCCATCCTAGAAGGCTGCTGTCCCCAGTGATGTGAGTCTGTTGGCTTTTCTGATCTGCTCTCCTCCTTCCCAGCAGCCACCACTGCTGTGCAGTGCAAACCATGGCCACTTCCAAGAGGGAGTTATTGAGCTATGCCCTTGGACACCAGAATCTTCTTACCTGGTGTCCTGGTGTCTTTGCAGCCCAGGCTCCAGTGTTTTCCTCCCCGCCCAGGGAGCCCCACTGTCTCATCTGGCGAGGACATTTCCCACAATGCTCAGAGGAGGAAACACAGCCCGGAGGGTCGGCTGTTGTGTTTCCTGGGCTTCAGGCCCTTCACGTCCATCTTCTCCAGTGGTTTCCAGCAGCCATCTGTTGTTTCCGATGGGCCTTAGTCTGGCTAAGACGGGAGTTTCCAGCAGGCTGGCTGGTTGGGTATGAGCTTTGTAGCCAGGAGACTCTCGAGGCTTCTCCGTTGCCCCCGTGTCTTCTGGTCTCTTTTCTGTATTCATAGATGTCTCTAGCTGTGCTTCCTTCAGCAGCATTCCCCAACAGACCCCATTTCTATGAGGAGTCTGAGACAAGCAATGCAGAGCCCAGGGAACAATACTCCCTCATTAACATGGCCAGAAGCCCTGTTCTCTGAGGACTTTCCCTGACTCTGCTGGGAGTTAGAAGCACAGCCATTTAGGATACTGACTCCCATTCCACTTCTGAGAACTCAGTCCTTTTTCCCTTCTGCAGCTGATGCAAGCCCTTTCCCTTTTTCTTTAATTTAATTTATTTTTTATATTATGCATATGCATGTATTGCCTGTATTGCACCCGTGTCACGCAATTCCCGCAGAGGTCAGAAGAGGCTGTCAGATCCCCTGGAACTGGCGTTACGGACAGTTGTTAGCTGCCATGTGGGTGCTAGGATTTGAACCCAGGTCTTCTGCAAGAACAACCAGTGTCTTAACCGCTGAGCTATCTCTCCAGCCCCAAGCCCTTTCCCTTTTAGAAACCCCTTGCCCTCCCTTCACCGAGGCCAGGGCAGGTCTGGAAGCCCCGGGCTGACTACTCTCCCTCTTTCTGGAGGGGTGTCTGTGACATGCAGTGGTGGGAGACGACCACAACGAAAATTGCTCATACTTTGTTTCCCTCCTCTGTCACAGGCTGCGAGAACACCATCGGGCCACCATCAGGGTCATCAGGCGAATGCAGTACTTTGTGGCCAAGAAGAAATTCCAGGTGAGCCCATGCCCAGCTCAGTTGACCTCAAGAAGCCTAGGGCAGCATACCTTCACCTTCCCTGGGACATCCCTGCTCCCCAGGACAGCAGGCTCCGCCAAAGAGCCTGGAGGCCTCCTGCCCTCCCTCCTTGCTAATTAGAAGGAAACTCACGCTGTTTCTCCTCCCAGGGGTTCCCACAAGGTTGTATTAGTGAGAACCTGGCAATGTCAGAAAAAGCCAGCCTGCCCAAGTCCTCCCCACAGGAAGTGACGTCTGTCCTCAGCCAGCTCAGAACTCTTGCTGTCGGCTCCCCTTCGCCAACCCCGTTGAGTCTCGCTTAGGGCACAGAGTCTCCTGGGCTGGCAGGGCTGCAGCTCTAAGCTTCACTAACTGTCAGGCCTCTGGGAACCGTGGTTCTCCTGAGCCCCTGGGTCCAGACCAGGGAATGGAATGGGGTAGCAGACTGTGTTCCTCCTCTGTTGTGGGACAAGGTCATGGGGAGGGTGGAGCCTCTAAGCCTCACTCTGAGAACCTGTGAGTAGAAACAGCAAGGAGTAGAGGGTAGGGGTGACTGCGGTGACTGGTCTGAGTCCCTCAGCGAGGCCCCAGTGGCGGCCCTGTGCCTAGTTCTAGGCCATACCTTCCACATCAGGCTGTGGGATTGACAGGGGCCCCCTCAGCACAGCTCCCATCCCAGCCCTGGAGCAGCCATAACCTCCAAAGTCTATGGGAGATGGAAATTAGGGCACAGTCTCCATCCCAGGTGACCCTGGGTGGGGGTTTCCCCATATGTATTAGGAATGGGAGTTGGGGCAGAAGTGGAGCTGGGTCTCACTCCCTGCCATCCTCAGCTCAGCCACAGCTACTGCTGTTCCATCCTTAACAGCAGCCCCCGGGCTGGCTGCGGGTCCTCCTGCCAAGCTCTTGAGGCTAATAAGAGCAGCATGTGGCTCCCTGTCCTGGCCACAGTGGCATTCTGCTGCCATGACTCAATTGGACCAAACTATGCCCAAGTTCCCACAGGGCAGGGGATTCCTCACTGTCAAAAGGAATAACATCCATGCTCAGCAGACACCAGAAGCCGGGAGACATCTACAGTGTGCTCTGAAGGATCCAAAGGCCCCATGGAGATGGCACTTGGAGCTCTGGCTCTCCCTACTACCTAGAGCCCACGTACAGGCCCACTGCCCCTGCCTGTGGAGGAGCTGGTGGGGTACTGAGAGGGGCAGGGAGCAGAGCTGCCTACCACAGAACCAGTTCCTCCCAGGTGGGCAAGGGGGATATGGGACCCTGTGGGAGTATCACATCTGGGAAAGACAGCCTTCCCCAGGGGCAAAGGGAGGCTAGAGTGTGTCACCCTTACTGGGGAACAATGTAAGTAAAACAGCTAGTGTCACCCTGGTGAGGCAGAGGGTCATGGGGAATTACTAGGATGTGACCGTTCTCAGACTGAGGAGGGGTCCCTGTGGGTGCTGGGCTAAGTCCCATATGCAGTAGCCCAGGACCGTCTAGGCTATGTGGTGCTGTGCTGGGTGAGCACAGGATTCCCTGTGGATTACTTCTAGAATCTCTGTGTCCAGTGGAGCATGGGGACCCTCACGGTTTCCAGGAAGGCTCCTATTGGGTCAGAGGCCTCTTCAGTGGCCCATGCAGACTTAGTATCTGTGGCATAAAGGCTGCTGGCATGGGTGAGGGCTAAGCAGAGAGCCTTGGGGCCCTGTACTTCCTTCAAGCCTCAGGACACCAGCCAAGGTCCTAAGAGTAGCCCAGAATAGGCCAGGGAACCGTACTGCCCCCCCGCCAATTCTTCCCCCCTGCCCCTGACCCAGATGGCAGAGAAGCCTTGTGGGATACAAAGGCTTCTAAGCAAGAGCCAGGAAGGGCTGATGAGCTGGCTCTATTTCTGAGGACACAGGACAGGCCTCCAGCAAAGACAAGTGAGGCAGGGTGAGGCCTGAGTCCTAGTGGGGAGGGCTCCAAGGGCTCTAGGCTGCCCTGATGACCCAGATTTCTTACATCAAGTGTCCACCCACCTGCTCCCTCCCCTCCCCCACTGACCTAGCTGCAGGCATGCCTGTCTGCCTGCCTCGCTGGCCGATAAGTCCTTGGCCAGCCGCCCCTGTGTCTGGCCCAAGGAGCCAGGGCCTCTTAGCCCTTCAAGTTTGCCTTGAGCTCCCACATCCTCCGTCGGTCAGTCTGGACAGGCGGTATTATCTTGACTCATCTCTGGCTCCTGCTGCCACCAGGGAACATGGGCCCTGGGGAGAAGCTGAGATGGCTTCTTCTGCTGGCCCCAGGCAGACATTTAACAGAGTTCCCCTCGAGTCCCAACAATATCCTGGTGGGGGGCGGGTTGGCAGGTCCAAGATTAAGTCACCAAAGGCCTGGGATGCACTGGCTGTAGAGTGCCGGCGGGGCCCCGCCAACCATTCTTAACTGTGCCCCGCTCAAGCCCCCACCCTGCTCCTGAGGCCTGCATGTCTACATCTTCCCACCACACGCTTACCCTTGTCCTGCAAAGGCTCCTAACACAGGAACCCATGCACACCTTGAGAACAGTGGCCCATGGCTTTCCCATCTGTTGGCAGACCATCAAAAGGATCTTTCCTGCTCCAGGTCCAGGCCTGCACCACCTCGGCCGTGGCCCCAGCCCCTGCTTCCTCTCCCCTCCCCACTTACCCCATGCCTCACTAGGCACGTCTAGAGATGCCACATACTTTGTAAAGCATTTTGACCCACGAGACTGACTGCCGTGACTCAGGGTCACCTTCAGTGTGCAGTAAGGAAAGGTCCAGGCCCAGATGCGGCCATAGCCACACCTGACTCTGACAAGGTGCTGGCTCAGGGTTTCTGGAACTTTCTTACCCTCCATCTCTTTCATTTTCACACCCTCCCTGTCAGGCAGAGCAGAGTAGATCTGAACAACCCATCTTCCAGAAAGGAGGAACGGGACTCAGTATCCCATTTTAGAGAAGAGAGGAAAAAGACTTAGCATCTTACTTTGCAGAAGGGAGGGGTGGGGAGGTGGTATGTCATGTACTCTTTTAGTTGGCCCCCAATGCCATACAGACTTCCCACAGCACAGTCTAGGTCTAGAGAAGGAAGAACCTGTTGTGCCCAGGGCCACTCTGGGTACCAAGGCCACTGCATCTTCTGTGGCCTCTACACCCAGGCCTGTTGTGAGGTCAGGCTTAGGATGGAACTTAGGCAGAACTTCCTCATACATTCTTAGCTATGGAAGTCTCAAGAACAGCACTTGGGTACAGGCGAGTGATAAAGTCCCCAAGTCTTTGTTACTTCTGTAAGATGGAGATGCTAGGCTCTGACCGGCTCTTCCTAAGAAGCTTTGGAACCAGGGGCTGGAAGCCTGGTAAGAGGAGCTGGCCAGTCTTGCTGGTGAGTGGACAGGAGGCTGAGGCCCAGAGAGGCCAAACTGGCAGCCTGGGGTCATCTAGCCCCCAAGGGTCAAGCCCTGCTACTTTCTATGCTTAGAGCCAGGCCTCCCACATCACTGTGCCCATCGCTGTCTGCATTTAGAACTAAAACACAGGGGAAAGTGACATGAGTCTCTCTGGCTTACAGCAAGCACGGAAGCCCTATGACGTGCGAGATGTCATTGAGCAGTACTCCCAGGGCCACCTCAACCTCATGGTGCGCATCAAAGAGCTGCAGAGAAGGTGGGCACATGTGTGCGTGTGGGGGCATGCATCCCTGATGGGCTCTGCCCTAGCCCCATAGTAACAGTGTCTGTTCTAGCCTAGGCTGGGCCAGTGGAAGGAAAGAACCTTAAGTTCTTGATGAGACCCACCCCTCAGGTGTCCTCCATCCACGGATCTGCCCACCACTGGGCCTGGGCCTAGGGACCCTGACCATTGGGAGCCAACATGGTCTGGGATTCTGGCTTGGCTCCTGTTTCCATGGAAACAGTGTGGTCCTTAAGGCCCATCACAGGTTTGGACTGGGGAGGCTAGCTTCATAGGTTGGCATGGAAACCTAGCTCTGTATGTTACAACGTACAGCTGGGAGAATGCTGCTGTCCCTTCCGTGGTTGAGGCCAAAGGTTCAGGGCCTCCCGTTGTTGACTGCACTCATCCCCTTCAGAGGGGATGCCTAAACCAACGTCCACCCCTTATCACTGAGCTCCCTGCCTGGCCCTCTCAAGAGCATGGGCCTCAGGGCCCTTGGGTGCCTCTTGGTAGATCTTAGAGCAGCAGCAGTGTGTACCCCTGGAGTAGGTGGTATGCTATCCTGCTAGGCACAGTGGCCTGTCTGTGTGTGCCCTGGGCCACGTGTGAGCTGATGTCCCTCTCTTCCCTCCCAGGCTGGATCAGTCCATTGGGAAGCCATCCCTGTTCACCCCCATCTCAGGTGGGTATATCTGCATGGGTACCTGGATGGGGCAGCCCATGAGGGACTCTCCCTCTCATCCTCCTCCCCCATTTACCTCTCCATCACAATAGGCTACCAAGGCTTCCTGTGTGGAAACCGGTGGGAGCAGGTAGACCCCATGCTAGGCAAGGTGGCTGTAGACAGTCTATATAAAGGAATATTTTGGTTCATGAGCAAACCCACTGGGTCCCTTTAAATGACAGGCTTCTAGGGCATTGCGGTCAGACTTTGGGTGTGAAGACATGAGCTGAAGGCGTGTTTTTTGGTGATGGAAGCCTAGAGCGGGGGCCCTGCCTGGCTCAGGCTTTCAGGAACACACAAGGGCTCTCTGTGGGCTGGTTCTCGGCTCAGTGGAAACGCTCAGGTCCTCGGGACATGGGGCTGAACCACACCAGGGAAGGACAAAGCAAAGCATGTTCCTTAAAATGGAGCTGCCCAGGTTCAGTCAGGACTGCAACGCATAATCCAGTGTCCGAGACCATGGGGGCCCCAGAGCTGGGAAGAATCCACCCCGGGCCCTGGCATTCTTGCCACCGGGGCACTTAAAGAACATCTTTGCTGATTTGGATCTGCCAGATACCAGCCCCTCCGTCTCCTGCTCCCCAGGGTCTGGTCAGGCGTCCCTGCTCCACGCCCACAACGCACAGCCTGACTTTGTGCTTTATCTCGTAGAAAAGAGCAAGGATCGCGGTAGCAACACCATCGGTGCCCGCCTGAACCGGGTAGAGGACAAGGTAGGCTCCCGCATCTGCCCTGTCACCTCTGCTAGCGCCGTTCTCCGTGCCAACGTGGTACCCCACAGCAGCATCCTGCCACTCTGCTTGGTTCCTAGTGTGCACCCAGGATGTCGATGGGGCACGGAATATACAGTCTCCCCTCCTTCCACTCACTGAGGCCCACAAGCTCCTTCCCAAACTGAGGCTCAGGTCCAGCCCCTATCTGGCTGCACATCAGTCCCTCTGGAAGAAGGTGGGGCCAGGTGGCCTTCTAGTCCTTTGGTCAGAGGCACCTTTACTCTGGTAAGTGGCCCCACATGCCTGTGTGCTTCTCCATTGAGTTCTTGAGAGCCGCTGTGCATGGCGGGTAGGCAGTGCACTCCACAACTTTGTGCTCAGAAAATCAGAAGCCTGCCTACCTGCTGGCTATTTACCTGGTGTCCCCAGGCCAGTGGTCCTGCCCCTTCCCTGGGCAGGAAGGAGTAAGAACTTAAGGTCAGATACACCAAGACCTCCAACATGACCTGGCTTTCTCCCTCCATCCCCTCACCCGCTTTTGGCTCCAGGAGCCTCCTGGCAACGTCCTGGCCAGGAGGTGGCTGCAGCCAGACTTCCATCTGACCTCCCCGTGGGCCAGCTGTCTGGAGTCCTCACTGTAGGTAGGCCAAAACTTCAGCAGACTCAGGACTTGGCTGGGGTGGGTTCCTGGGTGGGGTCATCCTCACTTTTCCTGGAGAGGATCTAGCTCAGGATGGTATGGTAGGTTAAGATGGCCTTGTCTGGCCAGGACATCTTCAGTGTCCACTGTAGACTCTCAACTAGAGGAGGGCATAGAGTGGATCTTCACTCCCTGACTGTCCATAATCTCACGCTGTAGGATGTCACAGACCACATCGTCTGGTCAACTAGAACACTCCACTGCCCCCGGGTTCCGTGCCCACCACCCTGCTCTCAGGAACAGCTGCAGGCTCTGAGTCGCATGGGGGCTTTTCTTGGGCCCACAGTCTAACCCTCTGCTACTCTTTGAAGTTTCAGTGGTTTGAGGTGTGCTGTTATCTTGCTGGACAATTCGTCTGTGTACATGGATTTTGTCTGAACATAACTGAGAGGCTAAAAATAGTGGGATTTCAGCTGGGCAGGGAGTCTGGTGGCTGCTTGGTTGCCATAGTAACACCCAGCTCTGGCCCCCTTCCAGCTGGGGCTGCAACTGGGCAGGCGGGCAGGGCACAGCCTGGTTCACACAGGACAAGCCAGCTTTCCTTTCCTAAACCTAGGCACTAGGCTCTGAAGTTTCCCTGCTTCTTGCTGGCACAAGTGGCCCTAACCTGGGGCAGCCATGGGGCCCTGAGACCAGTAAAATGGGATCAAGGCAGAGAGGGTGGTCTGGACTCTAGATACTGACTGGACCCACTGGAGGGACTGGCCCACACTGTTGAACACTAGAAGCAAGTAGCCTCTGGCCATCAGGCCACTCGGATGGCTGGAGATCGGCCCATTTGGCAGGACGGAAACTAACACCCATAGGGTTCAGCTCACAAGGCCCAGGCTCAGTCGTGGCTCAGGAGCCCCGCTGTTGACTGACAGGATCAAGGAATAGCCTTGGCTTTCTGTCTCCTTTGCTTGTGGGTCTGTCTGCTAGATCGGGCTGACATGCCAGTCAGTGGGTCTATGGCTTGTGTCGAGAAGGCAGGTCCAGGCCTTCTCTAATGGACCACCAGCCACCTACTCAACCCCCTCAGCTGCCCCAAGACCTTCTTGGTCAAGGCTGCCTTTACTGACCAGTCCTGCTGCTGACAAGAATCAGGCAGTCTCCCCAGACAGCACTGGCTGAATTCTGTGTGTAGAGACTGTCAGAGTCCCTGGTACTAGAGTTACAGACAGTTTTAACTGCCATGTGAATGGGAATCAAACCCAGGTCCTCTGCAAGGGCAGTTTTTGTTTGTGTGTGTGTGTATGTGTGTGTGTGTGTTTGTTTGTGTGTGTGTGTGTGTGTGTGTGTGTGTTGTGTGTTGTGTGTTGTGTGTGAGCCTTCCCATCCCAGAAGCCTGTGAGCAGCCCCTTGTTACCATTCCCAGATGATCCCTGCCCCCAATTTCCTGCCCAGGTTCTACCCCCTCCCACTGTCCCAGCTTTCCCATTCTGCCCATTGCCCTTAGGACAGACCAGGAGTCTGGTGTCCCTTGCAAGTAACAAAGAGTGGTAGATAGGATCTCTTCAAATCAGTGCTCCCCTTCCCAGGCTCAAGATATGGCTGCCCAGCAGCTGACTGGGGTCTAAGAACCAGGTCACACCCCCTACGTGACCAAGGTGGAGCTGGTGCTGGCCTCGGGACAGGGATGGAATTATGTGCCCCGTGTGTTCTGTCAGATCAGAACAACAAAGGGCTGGTTTCCAGAGTCTGTGGTCCCTGGGGGCAAGGTTTAGGAACAAAGCTGGGCTGAGCCTCAGAGCTCCTGGTGACCTTGGCCCCCTCTGGGCTCTGAGCCAGGGTTGCAGGGATGCTGGGATCCCACAGCAAGTGCCTCCTGGACACTACCTGTCACCCACTGCCCCTAGATGGTTAAGATGGAGGAGTGGATCCTCTGCCCAGGGCCATGGTCCACAATGAACCAAGGCCCCTCCCAGGGGTCTGGCCTGGACCCCAGCTGGATGTCAAGGGGTTGACAAGAACGCACTGACCTGGATGGCCCATGGCAGCCTTCCCAGCTCCTCCCATGTCCGGGACCACTGCCCCCTATGGGGACAGACCCTGGGAAAGGGCTTGGCTGGGCCCAGAGGGCACAGTGGCATGGCCAGGGCCCCACATTATCACAGTTATCAACGCAACCATCGGGACCAGAAACAACCCAAGCGCAATCTTGCTGACCTTGGGAAGAAGGGGACAGGAAATCCCAGGGAGCCCAGCAGAGCCAGTGCCAGCCAGCCTGGCTGAGTCCAGCTAGTGCCCCTGGGTTTCCCCTCCCTCCCATCTCTAACAGGCTGGCAGAAATCGAGGCTATAAGCACCCAGTGGTTTGCCATAGTCCACTCAGCCCCGGGGCTATGAAGTGTGTCCCAGCATAGGCCAGCACAGGACAGGGGCCTTTGGGACTTGCAGTCAATGGGACCCCACTCGTGGGAGGGGATCAGGCTAAGGGCCATGGATAACTGGAGTGTCTACTTGTAAGGAGTTACAGGGGAAGCCAGCTGAACTTAGTCAGGGTGCCTCAGTTTCATTGGTCAAGAACTCCCTTAGGAGTTCATTCTGGGGAGAATCGGAACACCCTTTATGCAGAAGTTCTGGTCTGTGTGGATCTTGCTTGGTAGGGGAGGGTCTGTATGCAGTGCCCCCCACTCATCCTGTAGTGTTCCCACTCTCTGGGGACCACCTCTGTGGCTGATGCCATTGAGGCTCTGCCTCCTGTGATGACCCCACATGCCCCAGTCTGTGGGACCTCACAGCTCAGATCTGTTCTAAACTGACTTTCTGTTACTTTACTGTTAAAGTATCTGACGGTTTAAACTCAGACTCAGTTTTTACTGTTTGTTACTAACTTCTTTGTTCTGGGAATGGCTCTCATTTTCCCAAATAAATCTACTTTTATAAGTGTAAAAACTGGGGCACAGGTAATCAAGCCATCTCCCAAGGCCACAAAGTTAGTTCTATAAAGAGCTGGTCCCCCAGGAGGACACAGATAAGAGGACGGATAAGGCACAGGGAATGCAGGGAGTTTCAGCAGTGTGAAGGCCCCTTGGAAGACAGGCCAGAACCAGCTCTGAAAGCCAGGCTGAGAGGGGCAAGTGGCCAGACCGGTGGCCCCAGTGGTCAGAAGTGACCATTCAAGATGGTGCAAGCCGCCTGTCATCCCTACAGCTGGAGCTCCCAGAGCTCTGCTCTCTGTCCCCGTTCCCTGATCCCGCACTGGTCTGCCCGGTATCCCGGGCTTCTTCAAATGTAGAACCCACAGAGGAGGCTGCACCCACCCTCCCGGCCCCATAGTGTTCTTAGGTCTTCTTGGACCTAGACCCGCTGCAATGTTTATTTTGCAAGCTAAGCTCACACCGCTGCACTGATACGCGGATCACAGTGGGGCCAAGATTCTGTTTCTGCAGGAAATGTCTGTGGCTCAAAGCCGGACACAGGGGAGCTCTGGTTTCCAGACCCGGTTCACAGGGCATCTTGGGAGGAAGGGGCCCCAGCACCCAGCACTCTTTCTGCCCATTTCTGTCCCAGAAGACAGGCCCTGTACACTTGCTTCCCATGAGAAAACATCACCCAGCCCCTGCCATGTGTCTTTATCCCAAGGACCCTCTCCTGCCCCCGAGGCCTACAAGGACCCCAAGGCCCTGTCATCCCAGGCTGTTCCCTGAATGCCTAGCTCCATCTTTGCCCTCCAGCCAGATGTTCAGTGGTGCCCAGGCCTTCATCCTCTCTTACTGGGGGATTAGTTATATTGGCATCTCATCCCTCACACGCACTTGATCCTGCTCTGCTGTCCTTATTGACCTGTGGCGCTTCACAGATTAAGCGGTGAGGTGTTGCCTCCCGTGCTACATCCTGGTCATTTTTTGTGTAAGACTCAAATGTTTGTCTCTCTTGAATGTTTCTCAGAACTTGAAGGCAAAACCATCGCACTGCTGTCTCCTTCGATTATCAGTTAGTGTTCTGATGACTCGGAGGGCTGCGAACTACTGGGGCTCTTTACTTCTCAGGGCAGTTTTGACGTGACGGAGCCGAGGAATTTGTACCTTTCATCTTGGTTTTCATCTCATTGGCGTTCATTGAACATCTGTAACACACGCATTTGCTCCTGTTCTCAAAGCTGTCCCCTGCCCTCCTCATGTGAGCCCCCCGCAATGTGATCAAGCCTGTCCCGCAGTCCCCGCTTTCATTAACACCTTCTATTTATGGGTTTCTTGGGGTTTTGTGGGGGTTTTGGTCTTGTTTTCTTAGGTTTTTTGTTTGTTTGTTTGAAACAGGGTCTCTGTGTAGTCCCAGCTTCCCGGAACTGCCTACATAGACCAGACTGGCCTCAGTCT